ATTGCCGTCTGAACTGAAGTGATATCTGCTGCTCGTCTCGGGGATTGCCTTGCCATCTTTCAACCAAGTCACTGGAAAATTTTTAACACAATTCAACTTTGCTTACTGATGCGAAAAAATGCGAAAAAAAAAAAGATTCAGATGAGAAATATATAAGGATAAAAAATTTATATTTCTCTCCAGATAAGCTGTCAAAAAAACAAGAATATTTCGTATATGTAATTAATTATAACGTATATTTTATGAAAAATTTTGTTGGATTTAAAAAAAAAAATTACTCGAATATTATTTGAATATAATAAATGATCTAGAAATGCTTAGTGCTCAGTCTACACATTCGGTGTCCTTGCTCTGTGTAAAGTCATTTTACCTTTCAAAGGCGCGGTATCAGTCTTGCACGTGAAAGTAACCGATTCGCCTTCACTCACTGTTGCAGACTGCGGGAATGTCGCGAACGCTGGGCTTTTCGGCTCTTCGTTTGGAGCTGGAAGAAATGGACAGAATGAATGAAAATGAAAATAAAAAAAGATTAAGATAAGAAAGGAAGTAGAATTAAAAGTAAAATCGAAACGAGGAACAAGGCTCGTCTTCGCCAATTTTTCTGTGATACGATTGATAATAACTAAAGGCGATCTCTCACCGAGTACGCTTAACGTGCACGACGAGTAGCTCTCTCCTGCATCGTTGAAAGCTTCGCACGTGTAAGTGCCGGAATCCTCGGGGAATATCTCAGCAATGACTAGCTTGTAGATGTTTGCTTCATTAGTGTACTGGAAATCTTTGCTAGGCTTAATCTCCTTATTGTTGTGCAGCCACACCACGTCGAACTTCTTCGCACCGATTATTCGGCAACTGAGCGTCACAGCCTCGCCGTCTTTCACATACTTGCTTATTAAATGGTCCACGATCTTCGGCGACTTGTCATCGCTCTGCTTCTTCCCAGCAGCGTTCTCCACGGCTAAAAACAAATCGGATTAAGCGTCACGCATCTTTCTATGTTTTTTTAACATTAAAAGTTTCTATGTGTGACCATTTTTATTTTTTAAAATATTTTTTTTTTTTGTTAACGATACGGTTTTGAAATTTCCTTTTTATTATATAAATTTTATTATATAATTATTCTCTTTATTCTAATGGAATATCGAGGTCAGAAAATATTGTAAAATTTTATTCTTTATATTAAAATAAACGTTAATTTAAAGAAATAAAAACGATAAAAAAAAACGATTGATATTTCTAATGAAATATAATAAAATAATATAACATAAATTACAAAATAAAATTAAAAATGATATTAAATATCTAATTGAAACACGTTAAATTACATTTGATTGAATTATTATCTTTAGGTTAATATTAGATAAGAATTGTAAAAATTCTTACCTTTTATTGTCAGTTTGCAGGATGTCGTATCACTGCCAATGCTATTAGTTGCGATGCACGAGTACTCGCCTTCGTCCTCGGGGAATACCTCATTGATTGTGAGAGTGGCCACTCCATTCTTATATTTCAGATCAACGATCTCTGACGAGCTCAATATCTATAAAAATTTTATTTTGTTTATTTTGTTTAAAGATATAAATTGCTAATAAAAACTTTCCTTCCTTTTATACGAATTTTTAGTACATTTTTAGAAATACCTAATTATTTTCTTTGTGTATCCATTAAAAGTAATAGCAAAATTCTTAATTTAGTTGTCGTGAATAAATTTCGAGCTTATGTACCTTGCCATCTTTACTCCAAGCGATTTGCGGTTCCGGATCGCCATCGACTTTGACGGTGAGTTCCAAATGTTCGCCATCGTTGACTGTGAGATTTTTCAGCTTTTGGATGAATTGCGGCGGTCTCATCGAATCATCTGACGGTTCTTTAATACATATACATTTTCATGTAAGATTAAAGATTACATTAAATGATCCAATCATTAGAGATATGACATGGTAAAGCGATATACTAACGGATAAGTTCTTTCGTGGTGCTCCTGGATCGAGATGGACTGCCAGTAGAGTCAAGTTTCGAGCCGTATTTCTTTATGCTTCGCTTATCAGACGTATCGTTGATTTTAACACTATCCTGAAATTATATATTTAAAAACATGTCAATAATGTTGTTTTTTTATTCTTATCGAGAGTCCTTATTTGATTTTATTTTTAAAAAGTATTATGAATACTTGCATCTGTACTTTTAATTATTTTAAGAGGTTTTTCACCTCTGCCGACTTCGAAAAATCGCCAATGATTAATATAAATATATTATATTATTTCGTGTATATACCTTATATGATGATGAAATCGTCGTGGAATTCTGTTTGCCATTGTATGAAGAAGTGAAGCTGCTATAATTTTGTCCTTGGCTGGTTGTGGAACTGTAGCCACTATAACCGCTGGACTTATGGATTGTCACAATCGGCGGTGGTGCCGGTTTTAATGGTTGCTCGATGAACCTTCGATCTTAAAATGGAATAATTCGTTTTAAAACAGCAATACAATATATTCATATATAATTAGATTATTCTTGTCATAAAAGTCACGAGATTTATATTTCCTTGCAAAAACAAATTATAGCAAATCTAAAAAAATGGGATGATGGAAAAAATGAAAAAGCTAATCCAACATAAAATATAATATACTGTACAAAGATAATGAATGTATAATATTTCAAGAGAATCGTTATTTTTGAGGTATACCTAAACAAATGGATTTTTATAATTATTTCAATATGATTAATATAAAAAGATTGAAATATTTCATATGCGGCTAATATAATAAGCTACATACGATTTTATATATTTATGATTAATAATGTGGAAAAGCTTGATGTAAACACAAAAATAAAATATATCTATTTAATGGAACATTGCTTGTAACAACAGATGGAAAGGATAGCAAACAGGGTACACTCTTAAACAGCTCTACCTCCGGAATGTAGGAGGTCGTGCACTAATTTTACTTGCTCCTCCGTTTCTCCAGTGCCTACAAACAAATGCTTAATGAAGTCTATTTCGTTAAGAAACTCAGTACAAATTATAAAAAGAATATTTTCAGTTTCAAGAATTATCTCAAGTTATTCTCGACAATAATTCTTCAATTATTTATAAAAATAAGTCTCTCTGTCAATTTAACTATTCTATTCATTTTTGCTTGATGATTCAATAACATGCTCATCTCATACCTTCTACGATGACCACGCAACTGGTCTCGTCCTTGCCATGCTTGTTGGTAGCTACACAACGATATTTGCCACTGTCCTCTGGCTTGCAATCGATAATTTCCATTGTGACGACGCCGTCAGCATTGCTCATGGGATAATTGTATTTGGACAACTCCTCCCTGTCTTTGTACCATTTCACAGTGGGTGGTGGATTGCCGCTCAGGCAGCAGAGCAACTTGCAAGTCTGCCTGATTTGGATGACACGTGGCCGCAGCAGGAACGTGAAGCTCGGCGCCGACTCAATCATCTCCAACCACACGTTGTAGCCAAGCGGTTCTCGTCTGCGCACCGGATGCAGCTCGGGCCTGTACTTCGGAATTTCTCTTGGCAATGCTGAAAGAGCGAAAACATCCTTATTTTTTTATAAAATGTAAAGCAAATAAAACTATTATCAATTATATTGATAAAAATAACTGAAATATTATTAGATAATTCATCACAAAATACGTCGATACTTCTTCATATGTTATATAAAAGTATTAAAGAGTGTGCAATATAAAGTTCAAAGTAGTTCAAAATTAATATTAATAAATTTAATATCATCTTTCCTAAATATAATTAAATTATAGTTATCTAGATATACTTAAAAACTATATTAGAAATATCAATTTATAATAAAAATTTTAATTTTCCTCCAGACTTATGTAAATTATACGGGTAAAATTTTGATGGCTTACGTTGTACATTGAGGAAAACAACTTCTTCACGATAGCCATAATGATTCTCCGCGCGAATAATGTACTCTCCTCTGTCTTCCAACTTGACTCTGTTAATAATAAAGGTGTAATCATCACCGTGGTATCGCTTCATGAATTTGACGGATTGCCGCAGTTCTTGGTTGTTATGCGACCAACTCAAAGTCGGTGCGGCAATCGCAATCACGCGACAAGTGAATTTCACGCTCTGTCCTTCGTAGGCGAATGCGCTTTGCGGTTTGATGACAAATCTGGGCGCTGCTTGTCGGCGATCTGCAAAAGCATAATTAATTGAAAAATTACCCATTAAGACAATTTTAATCACCTTAGTGTTATTTAAAGCTGGTGTTAATTTCTAGTTACAAGACATATAAAAAATATACAGAAAATTAAACAAACATTTCTTTTTTCGGAACATTTCTATTATTTAAATTAAATAATATCTTTCTTTTGTTAAAATTGAGCAAACAGTTCGTAAATATTTATATCTCTTCTGTGTTCTCCAAAATCAACGATATTTTTTATATCTCTTTTCTTCATCTTTTAAAATTAATTATGATTACATATATTAATTTTTTACTTACCGAAGCAAGAGTCGTAAATTCTGTATTTCTCGATTAAGAGTTTTCTGAGCGACGAGTACTCGGCTAGGCGGCCAATGGGAAGGACGTACTTGTCCCAATTCTCGTATTTGGCACGTAATCTGTCACGAATGCTGAGATAACGACTGTTGGCAATTGGATTGGTCCATTTACTATGGTCGCCGGTCAACCATGGATGAAGAAGACATTCATGTGCAGTCATGCGCTTCCTGAAAGGCAAGAATGACAATAATGTGAACGAAAGAGTAACGGAACAATAAAGAAAATGTATTCTCTAAAGAAATCTGTAAAAACGATAGTAGAACGCACTCTTTGTTTTTGACTAGTAATCGCCTGATGAAATCTTTGCCCTCTTCGGAAACGTCGCGGAATGCTTCCTCGTCAAAGTCCCAGTCGCATGCTTTTACATTCTTCAAGGTCTCAATGTCGTTGTCACCGGCGAACGGCGAAAGACCACTCAACCTGCGCAAATGCATTCTAGTCGATAGAGTTCTCTCTTTCTTCAATAAAATTCTGTGCATTCTTTGTGAATGCATGCATATGTCTTATAAATATTTTACTTCAGAACTCATATAATAACCAATAACTCCAAGACTTCATAATAAATGTATTTCAAATAAAATTTAAATATTTAATTTAAATATTTAAATATTTAACTTTGTTATAATTGCGCGAAGTGGTAATCTTACGACAAAATTTACTTACAAAACATAAGCTAATACACCGCAGGCCCACATATCGGTGTAAAAACCGACCGGCTCGCGTTCGACAATTTCGGGAGCAGCAAATTCAGCCGTGCCCGTACTGATCTTTACTACTTCGTTCGGATCAAGTTTAGTAGCCAAACCGAAATCAATCAGTTTCACGTTGGTGCTGTTACGAGTTTGGCACATGATATTTTCAGGCTTAATGTCTGGAAACAATCACATATTAAGATAATACGTTTAAAGTAAATATTAGTCTTAACAATTATAAATAGCATTTAAGAAAATATCAAAATATAATTAAAATAATAAAATAAAAATATAATCAAAATATAATTAAAATAATGAAAATAATAAAATATAATTAAAAATCTAAATTATCAAATCTAAGTAAAATCTTCAATAAATTTCACGTGTGTCATAAGAAAGAAAATTCATTGTTAAAATAACAATGTCTTACCTAAGTGAATGATGTTCTTTTCATGCATATGCTTGACGCCCTCACAGATCTGCCTCATGTAATTAATGACTTCCGCTTCGGACATGGTATAACCCTCGGCTGTGATCCTCTCAAACAGTTCGCCGCCAGACAGGCTAACGAGACAAATGATCGAAATTAAGAATAACGCAAACCCGTCACGGTCCGCCGTCGTATTTAATAGAGAACAATCCTCTTGTCTAAAATGGATACTTACAACTCGAAGATCAGCACCATCTCGTCATCGTCCTCAAAAGCATCGTGTAAGTTGATCAGCTTGGGATGATGCAGCTGATTCATAATATCAATCTCCTTCCTGATCAGCTCCTTCTCCATTACATGCGATACCGGGATGAACTTGGCGGCGAAAATGTTACCCGTGGTTCTTTCGCGGCAGCGGTGCACCACGCCGAATGCGCCCGTGCCGATCTCCTCCAGGATGTCGTATTTGTCGTAGACCGACGTATGCTTGATCTCGACCGGTTGCGGCACGTATTTGCTGTACATGTCAAATACGAACTGATCGTAATCGCGCGGCTTCTCGTCCTCGCGGCCGCGTATCTTCTTGCCGGTCGCGTCCACCTCGTACTCCTTCCTCTTGAATTCACGCTTGATCACGGCCTTGGTGGTGATCAACGGCGTTACCTCGCTCGGATCGGAACGGCCGTAGATGTTCTCCGCGCACACTCGGAAGTCGTACTGTTGCCCCGGGCTGAGACCGGTCACCGCGAGCGTGCAGAAGCGAGTATTGCCAGCGCGAATCCAGCTGCTCATCGGGTGCTCGCGCTTTTCCACCACGTAATTGGTGATGTTGCTGCCGCCGTCCCAGACCGGTGGCTTCCAGCTGACCGCCAGGGAGTCGTGACCGACGTTATCCACTTGCGGGAATCTGGGCGGATCTGGACGATCGCTGATCTGTATCTTGATGATGGCCGAGTCCTGACCGAGGTCGTTCTCGGCGGTGATGCGATACGGGCCAGAGTCCATGCGGCTGCCATCGCGTATCGTCAGCACGGCGTGTCGCTCCTTCACTTCGACGGCGTAGTGTCCACCGGACTCGATCACCTCGCCCTCGCGCACCCATGTGATCTTCGGCTTCGGATAGCCAGTGAATGGGATCTTGATGACAACGTTCACGCCCTTGTCGAAGAAGGCAGTGTCGCGGAAACGTGGCGGCACGTTCAGCTTCGGCGGTGTCTTGATGAAGAGCTCGCCCTTGGTGGACTTTACGCCGCATTTGTTGACTGCGCGGCAGAAGTACTCGTCGGCGTCCTCGCCGAAAACGTCGTGAATAATGAGATTGTGAGTCTCACCCTCGGAGTAAATGTTATAGCGAGAACCGCTCACGATCTCGCGGGCACCTTTGAACCACGTGATGGTCGGCCTCGGTGTGCCAATGATCTTGCATTGGAAGTGGGCGTTGTGATTCTGGATGCAATTTACCTTGAAGAAGAAACGAGAAGAGGAGAATTATATTTTTTGAATAAAGTGACATTATTGTATTATTTTAAAATTCATCCATAATAATTGTTTATAATCAAACAGCAAGCTAAAGAAATACGAACCTTGTTGAGAGGTTGAATGATCTCTGGAGGCTTCGCCGCCTGCGGATCAACGATCTTCACGGAGGTCGAGGCCTTCGACTCGGGACTAAGTCCTGCGATGTTTTGAGCAAATACTCGAAACTCGTATTGCCTTCCTTCGATCAGGTTGCTGATATTGATCTGCGTCGGCAGGCAAATGCTGACGTTCACGCGCTGCCATGCCTGACTGCCGACTTCTCTCTTGTCGATCCAGTAACCCTGGATTTTGGCGCCGCCATCTGTTTCCGGTTTCTCCCAGGAGAGATTGACGAAGTCTCCGCCAACCTCGATGACTTTGGGCGTGCCGGGTGGTCCTGGTGGATCAAACGGCGCCTTGGCTTTGATCGGATTGGTGCCCTCCAACGGTGGTCCCATGCCGTTGTCATTAGCGGCCATCACCCGGAAGAGATATTCCTGGCCCTCGGTAAGGCCCTGCACGACGAAGGTGGTGTCTTTGCAGAAGGAGGATACAATGATCCAGTGAGTGTGGCTGACATCGCGACGCTCCACCACATAATGGGTGACTCGAAGACCGCCATCGTACTTGGGTGGATGCCAGGATAAGGTGCACGTGTGCTTGTCAATATCGGAGACATCGAGCGGTCCGGTCGGTGGTCCAGGCAGTCCAGTGATGTACACGTTGAAAGACGCGCTGACGCTGCCACTATCGTTCGAGATGGACAGGTCGTAAGTGCCAGCGTCATCCTTCTGAATATCCTTGATGAAGATAATGAGGTACTCGTCGAACACGGTATATTTGATGTGCGTAGTCTCCACGATTTGGCGGCCGTCCTTTTTCAGAGTCACTTCCATTGGTTGGTCGCCGCTGTAATAAATCTTGATCTTCGTGTTGTCGCCCTCCGGTAGATAGAGATCACCCGGTATGCGCTCGATGCGTGGCGGCGTACCGATCTTTAGCCTGCATGTGGTCGCGGCGACGCCGAGCGGATTCGAGATCTGGCAACTGTAGTCACCGTCATCAGCATCCCACACCTCGGATATTACTAGTCTGTAGATGCCGTTTATCGCCTCGGCACGGAAGCGACCGCCCAAAGTGATCTCGCGGCCGTTCCTCAGCCATCTAAACAAATTAAGATTATAACGATAAAGATTAAAGTTAGGAGTAATAAACAGCATAAGAATAATATGTAATTTATTACAAGTATTAATTCTTAAGAAAAATTGTAATTTTTAAATATAAACGTTTAAATAAACGTTTAAGTTGTAATAAATTATATAATAAAACAATCTAAAAAAAAATCATATAAATGAAATCGATTTAATTGTTACGATGTTCAAGTCTAATATTTTTATTTTTATGAACTAAGTTTTTTTAAATAAAATATTTAATAATAAATAATAAGAATATTATTTCAGCTAACCTGGCAGTCGGCAGAGGTTTACCCGTGGCCTCGCATTCGAGGACGAGAGTCTTGCCAAGCGGTATAATATGACTGATAGGCAGATTTCGGATAAATTCCGGTTTCTCACCACCCTCGACCTCGCAGATTTTCACCGGGGTGGTGCACGAGCTCGGCTCAGACCTGCCGGCTGCATTTACCGCGAAAATTCTGAACTCGTAATCGCCCCGTTCGATCAGATGCATAACCGTGTACTCAGTATCTACGACATTGTATTCGTTGCACTTGGACCACATCGCGCTGCCCACTTCACGCTTCTCGATTATGTAACCGGTGATCCTGCTGCCACCATCGGACACGGGCGGCTCCCATCGCAGGTCGACGTAGTTCTTGCCGACCTTAACGACTTGCGGCGTGCCAGGTGGCGATGGCACATTAAACTTGCTCTTGAGTCTGAACGGCGCAGACGGCGGACTCGGCTTGCTGAAGCCGGCCGCGTTCTTCGCACGAATTCTAAATTCGTATTCGTGACCGCTCATTAGGCCGTAACACACATACGTGGTGTCTTTGAAGAGATAGTCATTCGCCACGCGCCATTGCATGTCTTCGGCAGGATCGCGGAACTCGATTTTGTAACCCTGTAATTGAGAATAATGTAATATATTACAAAATATTTATTAATATTAAAAGTACAAGTTTGAAATAAATTAAAATTCAAAAAAGCTAACTATATAAATATATTAGAATTTGTTAATATTAAAAGTATAATCTGAAATAATTTATAAAATTGAAAAAATACACAACTGTATATATATAGCTATATAAAAAATATATAACATATATATATAAAATGATACAAATTATTAGATTAATAATTCATATCCTGTAGTTATAAATTCTATTTACACACCTGGATGCGGGAGCCACCATCGGATAAAGGTCTCGTCCAGACCACCGTGGCATTCGAGGTGTCCCAATCGATGACTCGTGGCTGTCCGGGTGGATCTGGCACTGTGAATGGGAATTTGGCCGTTATCGGTTCATCAGCCTGTAGCGGATCAGATACGCCGTACTGATTTTCCGCTCGTACGCGGAAGTTATAAGTACGATTCGGTTCCAAACCGATGACGTCATAGTGCGTGCTTCTCACAAAGCTACTGAGCTTCACCCAATACTATAAAAGAAATTCGAAAGCAATGAAGATATTTTATAATTTCATAATGAATAAAAACTAATGCTACCTTTTTGATCAATTTATTTAGAATTATTTCATCGAAAACTTACGCCGGCTGGATCCAGTTTCTCGACAATGTAATTCGTGATTGGCGAACCACCATCATCGGAAGGAGGTTTCCACGTCAATGTGCAGGTTTCCGGAGTGATATCAGAGATGTCCAAAGGTGCCAGAGGTGGCGATGGTTTGTCTAAGAAAAAAGTTATTTTATAGTAACTCATGTACTGATAAAATCAAAATGCTCAATAAGAAAAGAACTATTCAAAATTACTATTTTGTTACTTTCTAAATATAATTCTTTAAATTTAAATCCATACTAAAAAAAAAAATAAAAATAAAAATATCTAGAGGTTAAAGATTGATGTATAAAGCGAAATTTACCGACGACGAGGACCTTGCATGAGGCGGAATCTGTGCCGACGGTATTCGTGAGATATATCGTGTACGTGCCGGTATCCGATCTTTGCGCTTTCTTGTTGACGAACTGTGAGGCAACATCGGTGGTCTCAAATTTAATCCTTTCGCCAGTGAGAACTTCCTCGCCGTTGATGGACCAGCTCGGTCTCGGCTTGGGGTTAGCTGTATATGGTACCGTAATGGTGAATGGTTCTCCAGCAATTACAGTCATATCACGGATGCTGAGATCGCTCGTGATCTTTGGTGGGACTGTAACGAAAGATTGACATCTTGAATTATACCTGATTCTCATTAATTCATGATAAATTACAATTAACAACAATAGAAAATTTAATTAAAGCAATGATCTGAAAATGTATCTGTATATCTGTATTTTCTCTTTGTATTCTTAAAATAAAACATTTAAAATATTTATTAATATATGAGTTAATTAAAAAGTTATTTAATATTTAATATTTACATGGTGCAGCGCTGGCACGAATGATGTCGGAATTGGAGCTCCATGGTCCGCGACCGGCAGCATTTTCCGCAGCCACGCGGAATTCATAATCGTGATTCTCAATGAGCCCGGTAACTCTGTGAGACCAACAAAAATCGTTACAATACCTTGCTAAAATGCCAAAGATACCTCTCGAGAGCATATACAAGTCACTCACTTGTAAGTAGTATCGTGCACCAAAGCTGGGGTAGCCTTAACCCATTTATCCTCGTTTAGCAAACGCTTCTCAATGACGTATCCGAGGATCGGAGAGCCGCCGTCGTGACGAGGCTTGGTCCAAGTAATGGTAATGCTGTCCTCGGTAGTTTCTACACCACGAGGTGTTCCAGGTGCGCCCGGAGGATCAAATGGATGTCGCGCCTTGATCGGATCGATCGTTGTCGCTGGATCCGACGTGCCGTACTGGTTTTCTGCCATTACCCGGAATTCGTAAACCTGACCGACCGTCAGATTTCTGACTCGCACAAATGGTGTCGTGACGTAGCTGCTCACCTAAAAATTTCTTTCTTTTAGAATCTCCGACACTATATTCAAATTCAATGCCAATTAATTAGTCTTTCCTTTCCGTCTTTTTTTTACCTAAATTTTATGATAATCTCAATTATATAATATTTACTTTAGACCACGTAGCCGCTTTCGGTTCTTTTTCTCGATCACGTAGTTAGTGACATCAGCACCGCCGTTGTCTTTAGGCGGGTTCCAGAAGAGAGTGAGGGCGTCGCCTCCGAATTCATCTGCACGAAGATTCTCAGGCGGACTAGGACGATCGAGAACCTTGACGTTGACGGTCGCTGTGTCAAAACCAGACGAGTTGCGCAGCTGAAGTCTATACTGTCCTCCGTCCGAACGTTTCGCATTCTTCACTACCAGGCTGCAGCGAAAGATTATTCAGTAATACAACATGTACAACATTACACTAAACTTTATCTAATAACTAACTGTAATAAAACAAAATTCTAAATCCAAATATATTGTATTGTTTTTAAATTTCTTTTCAAACTATCTTCCTCATAATAATTATAATATTCTCTAAATATTATAATAACTAAAATTCAATTGCATGATGTTCAACTTTAAAAATATTGACAAATTAATAAAATCTTCATATCTCGTTTTAATTCTCATTTTCTCAAAAGTTTATATTAATTCCAGAGTTATATACCTGGCAAAATCATCGGCTAGCTGCTGATGCACACGTGGATCGGTTTCGTCTTTAATGACATCGTTCGCAAACCACGTGGCGGTTGGTTTGGGGAAGCCGATATAAGGTACATGAATAGAGAAATCTTCACCGGCACGAACAGTGATATCGCGAACTCCACCGAGGTCCATGACCGGTTTGTTGGGTTGTTCTTCGATGATGATCGGATTGCTAGGTCGACTCGGGTCGCTGCTGCCGACGTCATTCACCGCAAACACCCTGAAGAGATATTCCTCGCCCTCTTTCAGCTTCGGCACGGTGTATACGTTGCTCGGTATAGGCGCGCCGTTTACATCTGACCAATCGTCATCACCCTTGGCTTTCTTCTGAATAATGTATCCTCGGATCTTCGAGCCGCCATCGCTTCGCGGTGCTCGCCAGCTCAGAGTCACTGAATCTTTAGTTATCCTATCGGCTTTAGGCGGTTCGGGTGCATCAGGACGCACTACAAAGTTAACGGTAATGTTGTTATTATAGTTACTGCAATTTAATAATTAAAATAATCAATATTATTGAATATAAATAAAATTAGGAATTAAAACTATTAATAATATTGAAGAACTGAACAAAAATTAAAACTAAAATGAATGTTAAAGGAAGATGTTCAAATTATAGCATTTTATGAAGATATATTTTTTTACAATTAAATCGTATTTATTAGATGCAATGAATTTGATGCTACAAATGCTTCGAAGCATTTCTTGACGGATTAATTGATACAATTCTTTGTTCTGATTCGTCAATCAAACACTTCAAAACATTTTTAATGAAATGTTGATCGTATTCATTATAATGTGATAACATGATATTGGAGTATACTTACGGCGTTGGTGTCCGGCTGTGATCGGTTCAGTAGGCTTGCTAGGTTTTCCAGGTCCAGCCTCATTGACAGCGATCACTCTAAACTCATATCGCGAACCTTCGTGGAGATCCTGCACAGTGAATGTCGTATTCGGTGTTGGGTAGTTGTTAACTTTCAACCATTCGCCACCACGCTCGCGCCTCTCCACGTAATAACCTGAAAAAAATAATGCAAATAATGTATATAAGTCATTATATATAAAATATGGATTTCGGCACAGGGTTTCACCAATAAAAAGGAAATTAAAATCTTCATCATATATATCTAAACTTTTAAGAATTTTCTCAAAAGGAAATTTTTTTTAATATTAATTTAAATATAACATATATATATAAGTTAATATATATAAATGCCACAAAATATTTACTTTTACATATATAGATATATAACAATTAAAATAATTTATTGCGACAATTTACCAGTGATAGGCTTTCCTCCAGTATTGATAGGCGGATTCCACGAGAGACTGCAACTGTTGGGAGTGTAACCAAGAACCTCAGGCTGGCTTGGCGCATCTGGTGGATCGTAGGGACTCTTGGCGACCACGGGCTTGCCCTCCAAGGGCTCCGATACTCCGTACATGTTCTCGGCGCGGACTCTAAAGACGTACTTCCTGCCTTCAGTCAAGCCCTTTGCTGTAAAACTCGTCCTGGGAACATATCCAGGTACTTGTCGCCAATTGTCAGAACCGTAATCTGAGACTTCGACAATGTAGTTCGTAATGTCGGAGCCACCGTTGTCCATTGGTGGGTTCCAGGACAGCCCGACGGACTCTTGCGTCGTGCCGGTGTATTGTAGAGGACCCTGAGGTGGTCCAGGCTTATCCACAACTATTACTTCAATCTCGGCTGAGTCCTTTCCGTGCTCGTTCGTCGCGGTTATAGTATACATGCCACTGTCATCTCGCACAGACTTCTCGATAAGCAGTTGCGTTCGGTCGCTCTTGGTCTCGGTCTGAAGATATAATAAAAAATGAAAAAGTGCATATAATACCAATAACAAATAAAGACTGTTGACTTGATTCTGTATAAAGATTAAAATAAGGATTCTGTGAGGCAAGGAATAGGATAAAAAATTTATAATTTATTAAATACAAAAGAAGGAAGGCATTACGAACTAACATTTAAAAAAAAAGAATTCTTTATAATTATTTTTAATAAAAATAATTTAATTAATAAGTTTCAATCGAGTCAATTAATTAAAATAAAATAAGAAGATAAACGTACAGATAGACGAAGGGTCTCCATAAGTGATTTTCCATCCTTGGTCCATTCGATCTTTGGCGTGGGAGCGCCAGACAATGGTATGTTGACATTGATCGGTTCTCCAGCGCGAACTTTGATCTTGCGTCCGATTAGAGCGTCTAGATGAAGCTTCGGCTTTTCTTTCATAGGTTTAGCCGTGAATACGGACGAGGTCTCGCTTGGTTTTCCAGCACCGGCGGCATTTATAGCCGACACGCGATACTCGTACTGATGACCCTCGGTTACATGATCATCGTAATATTCAGGATATCTAACCGGTTCCTTGTTTTGCTTTATCCAGCGACCTGTAGCACGATCGCGACGCTCCACGTCATAGCCGATGATCTTGGAGCCACCATTGCTAATAGGCGGAGTCCATTTGATTTTGATGTGATCCTTGTCGGCATCCACGCATTCCGGTTTGCCAGGTTGTCCAGGAGCAACTGTACAAGTAAAAATATGTTAATAAAGAAAAAAAATAATAAAAAATTAAAATTAGCAATATATAAACAAACATAATTTTTTATAGTTATAAATTTATAATTACGCATGTTTGGAATTTAATATTCTATTAAAATATTAATATTCTAAATTACAATTATTAAAATATTATAATTAAAAAAAAGCTCTGGAAATTTTAGATCCTTTTTAAAGATCATTTTTAAAAACGTAATTAATATTCTTATAATTATTTTTAGAGTTATTTATTTTGTGTGTATATGTATATAATGTGTATATATATATATATATATATATATATATATATATA